CAAGCACACGCGCAGTTTGGATCTTCTTTCCCATTTTTTTTTCACTGATGCGGAGGGCTTCCCAAGGTTTGGTGTAAGCATCCGTTGGCTTCTGAGGAATCTTTACATTCTTGGGGAGTTGATTTATGGTTCTCTTACCTGAACTGTGCTTAGGCCCCTTGCTTGAAGCAATCTTTTCTAAAGGCATTACATTTTTCTTCATCATTCATGTCAGACTCAAGGGGCCACGGGTTGATGTAGCACAACCCACATCAGAGTTCGGTTCTAGGTCGTCATGTAGAGACAGATCATCCGCATAGGACTGGTCCTCAGCCTCCCGATGTTCATGCAGGGCAAGCTGGTTGCTGCTTCCGAACCGCTTGCGTTGCAAAATTTTACCTGCAGCTGGTTTCTTTGCACGCTTGGCGAGGTCTTTGGCCTCTAGGTTGACCATAATTGATAAGAGCTCTCGCCAAGTCGTACGCTCCTCGAGTCCTAGCCGGGAGACATAATCTTGAAAGGCCACTCCCATAATTACATCCATGCAAGATACATCAGTCCATCCCAGGTTTGGACTCTGGAGTAGTGAATAGACTAGTCAAATGTTGTTCCAAAGCATGCATGGAAGTCCTCCAGTTTTGGCCCTTGGGGGTTTTAAGTTTCAGCCTTGCTTTGAGCGCAACATGCTTATCTTGATGTTGCGCGATGAGGAGGTCCTCAAGAGTACATACAGGAGTCACCATCAGCCACTCAGTCAGGTCAACCCTTTTATAACCTGCACTAACAGCTTGGAGTTCAATAAAACTCCGTACACCGGGCTCAATATTTGTTCCCATTATCATACTTCGGTCTTCTTGCGGTGTCGGCTAGTACAAGCGCATGGAGATGATCCAATAGGTGATATGTCCCTTTCCGTCGTACGTGGCCGCCCTCTTGTCCACCATGGGACCGCTATATGGTATGCCGGTAGGAACTGCGGCGTTTTGGCTGGTGACCTTGCATTTGGGACTGGGACAAGTGTAGAACTGTCGGCGCTGCCACTTGAAGAGCTGGCACCAGCTCTTGCGCTCGTCACAGTTCCACTTGATCTCTGCATGAGGACTGTGTTAGGGGGAAAGACTAGGACAACATCAGGACGAGGATTAGGAGGACGAGGGATAGTCAGCTGGACCTGTTTGAGGCCTACAATCTCAGTTTGCAGCTCTTGGTTCCGTTGTTCTAGAATTGTCATGTGCGACTCAAGATCTTCTAAAGTCCGCAGTTGAACCAAGGATGCTACGTCAGCGGCTAGCTTCTCTCTGAATCGAGTATCCCTGATCTGGCAGAACAGCGAGGAGAGCCACTTGGTTAGCAATACTTGTTGCTTTAGCTGCTGCCTCTGCCTCCCTCTCTCTCTGTACTGCATCCGTATAAAGTTTATGAAAGAGCGATTTTTCGCCTTCATCCGTCAAGTCCAGCATGGCCTGCCATTGGGCAGATGAGATGTTTGCCATGCTGGAGGATGGGATGTCAGTAGATCTCTCAAGAGGGGTCCGCTCTTCGCTCACGTTTGGACAAATGCTCCTCTTCCCCTTCCTCACACTCTCAAAAAGAACACCTTCTCTCTCCCTTCTCTCTTCTTCCGCTTTTTGCGCACGCGTCTCAATATTGGACATAGATAGCTCAGATAAAGAAAATAATATTAAAAAAAAAATCACAAAAGAGAAGGTAGAACTCCGACCCGGAGCGACAATTCATTTGGACTAGAGAACGGCATCCACGCAGCAGAATCAAATAAATAATAATAAAAATTCAAAGAGAGGTATGTCTTAACAAATGGGTTTGGTCCGATCAGACTGGAGATCCCCTTTTGTCTAACCCAACATGGAACATATACCACGAATAAGTCAGACGAAAGGAAACTAATTGAAGCAATGGAGATTTTGAGGGGTGCGGATGGTCGCCGAGCCAGACACGGGGCAGTGTGTGAGAACATGCATTAAGACCAATCAAGATCCCCTTGAAAGGAATGTCCTATCCGTACATTCCCCCCAGTTCCAGCGTAGCAGAGAAATACAACTTACGGCAACAGATTTGGGGGCAAAAGGTCCTATCTTGTTGGGCCTGGTCCCACTGAGTCCCGAAGGGTCCCAAGTAGGTCGTGGACCAGGACCAACTAGAAGGGTGTCCCAAGATGGTCCCAAACTGCCTTTACCGTACTGAAAAGGAAAAGACAACTTCAGCAAGAACCTACTAACTACAACCATTCAAAAGGGCAAGGACAATGCACTGCAGAAAGATATGTCGTTAAGAACAAGATACATCATCCATCCATCCATCAGGTGACAAAGCAATCCACATGCTCACACACACAGCCAAGACCACCGAGAAGAGTAAGAGAGCCCAGCACGATCCCCAACAGGCCAGAAAGCACCAAGTAACCACCCGTGGGCATAATCCAGTCACCCGACACTTACCTGTGAGGCCCAGCCCTGAACATGATATAAAGATTCACCCCCCTCTCTCATAGGTCCTCCTGACCCCTAGCTACCACTACACGAAGTATCTTAGCATGACTAAGAAGGCGCTCCTACACCCATGTTACAACGTCGGATCCTCCGTAGATGTTGAAGACCAAAGTAGCAACCTGCAGCTCTTCAATGCAGATATGGCAGCCTCCGGTGAAGTCTCCCGCTTGAGGGGAACTCCAAAGTCACTCAATGTCTTCTTCAGGTCCATATTCCAGGTCCGAGTACCTCTCACTCTCTACTCTCTCTCGCTTGCACCAATCAGCCTCCTTTGTGCCTCGCCACCCCAACATTCATTCAATCAACCTGGTCAGGTCAAATGTCGACCCAACATGACCTAACCAGGTGGGGGCAGTACCCAAAACACCACGCTGCCCCTGTTACCCTAACCACCAACCCTAATCCGAGGTTAGTTAGCCCTTACTAACTCGGAATGAGGGTTAGGGTGACTAACACCTCTCGCCAGCAAGTAAGTCCGCTCCGATACCAAATGTTACGATCCTGGTGCAAATTCACAAGGAAAGACAATGCCCCACCCAATTGCGAAAGAAATGAAAGCACTTGCAAAGAGAGAGAGACCAAAGAAGAAGAAAGAAAGAAGAAGAAGAAGAAGAAGAAGAAGATGTACACCAGCAAGACCAATGACAAATTCCCCCTTCTCTCTCCACCTTCCTCCTCCTTGTCTTGGCCAATCCTTTTTTTTTTTTTTTTTTTTTTTTTGAATGTGGCCCAGTGGACCATGGATCAGATATTAAACTGATCAGAACAGATACTACACTTGGTCTTAGGCAAAAGGCCGAGAAAGGTTTGTCTTCGCCAATCTTATTCTTCTCCCAAATAATAATAAAAACAATGAGTGGTTGAACCAGAAGCCAATATCCGAAGCTCCCTCTTACTGCCAGGACAACAATAGGTCCACCATAGCCATGGCTTCCCCCTTCGCCTTCCTCTCACATGCCAAGGCTATGGCGGACTACTAAGGGCTCTGCCCTTCTTTGCAAAAGACAACTCAAAGCAGCTATGGTCGCTGCTCTTCAGGCCGCCATGCCTGACTCTGCCATGAAGCTTCCTTGGAGCGGCACTACCCCAACTGGGGCCTTCCAGATGCAATGCCTGACATGCCAAGGTGATGAAGATGGTGTCCACCATAGCCAGGTAGGTACGTCAATCTGGGCTGCTCGCCATAGCCAGGCTGATCGCCCAGCTCTCGTCGTCCTCCCAGGTGGCGCTCTGTGTCCAGTGCTAGCTCAAACAGTATGTCGCCCAACCCTGCACACTGCAAATGAGGAGGAGCTACTCACCCCTCCAGAAGATATAGCGGCTTACTTGCCCCTTGGGCAGTGACTTCCAGGCTGCGCGGCCTCCAAGCAAGCGGTACCTCGTCCCTTTCGGAGGGAAACATCATTGCAGGCTATGATATCGTCCGTACAGGCCCTAGACTCAGGCTACTTGGACTGGTACCGGCCTACCTCTAACCCACCGCTACTGGGCCTCTAAAAATGCCAACTTGTTTGTCGTCTTCTTCTCGACCTCGAGTACCCGACGCATCTACCACTACTTGAGTGGTACCGGCCTACCTGCTCCTTGAGTGTTTTTCCCGCTGCTGTAAGTGTCGTGGGTCTACCCCCGTGACTTGAGTGTTTTTCGCACTGCAACCCTCACGGTCACAGGTAAGTACCGGCCCTGCAGGGTGTCCAAACGAACAAGTACCCTTGCGGGTCACACACACACTCAGGCCGACAAGCACTCGGACAGGCACGCAGACCAGCAGGCATGCACACACACAAACTTAGAAAACTTAGCAGAATGTGGGAATCTCAGCAAGGCATACATTCCAGCGGCAAAACTCAGAAATCAGCAGTGTTCTCAGTCTGTGTTTTGGCGGGTCATTACAGAACAGACAAAATATAAGGTGCATGTGTACGGGTGTGCTGACAAACAAATACACAGCCGCAAATGCATGCACACGAATGCAGGGAACACACTTTTCATACCCTTCAAATACATGCAAGCATTGACACATGCCCGCGCACACACACTCACATGTGCACGCACGGAGAGAGAGAGAGAGAGAGAGAGAGAGAGAGAGAGAGAGAGAGAGAGAGAGAGAGAGAGAGAGAGAGAGAGAGAGTAGGTTGGGAGATGGGGCACATAGAGAGAGATGTGGATTTGGAGATGGCATGCATATCTGGCTATGGTAACATGCCCTAGTCCAATATCCTGTTAGGATGGTCACCTACCCATGCAGCAGCACTCTTGCTATTGGTGGATGGGCAGAGAGAGAGAGAGAGAGAGAGAGAGAGAGAGAGAGAGAGAGAGAGAGAGAGAGATGTGGAGAATAGACCTGAAGCACTTATCCCAACCTGTTTCTCCCGTGTTTGCTTGTTAGCATCTGGCATCCGGGCTCAAGAACTCAGAACACTGGTTGTTTCTTGCGCTGATCAAGGTAGTGGGTCGGTTGTGTCATGTTCTCTGGCTATCTTGTTGTTTGTATCCATAATTGTGGTTGAGCAGATCTCTGATTCTGAGTCTAGGGGAGCAGCAGAGCAAAGGAGCAGTGTTCTCAGGCCAGTGCTGGAGCCCTCACTGTCCGTGATTAACAAGCTGCGAAACAGGTCATCATTCCGATGGGTAAAATTGGACCGGATCTGCGTTTCCACAAACTAAGGCTAGCTGTTTCACCTGCCTGGAGAAGAACTCTATACCCCTTTCCCAACTCCAAACTCCAAAGTTTCTCAACGTACACTTTTGCCTGCACAGTGGTATCCGGAACAGGAAATGAACACAACGTGCACCCAAGCAGCGCATTCAAGGGGACTGGAAAATCCGCCGTGAAATATCTGAAGTGCTCAAGGAAGTCCAAGAACATTACACTTGAGAAAGGTAATCAAGGAGAGCCTCCATGCCTCGAATAGCGGTTATGGGACCAGAACATCACACTCGAGAATATATGTAGCGTGCCTTGGGGACTACAAAGGGATCAGTTAAGCCACCAGTACGTCCACGTTCTTAGGCCGTTAACACGGTGGCTGAATCAGTGCGCCGCGCAAGTCCATATTCATTTGCCTCAGAGCCTACCCAGAGGGGGCCTGGGGTACTGGTGGTGTAAACTATATCTCCTGAGACGTGCGTGCAACATGCTGTCCGAGAGTACTGCAGCAAGATGACAGATGGCAAGAGCTGTGATGCGAGGAGGGCGTTTTCTGTACATCGGTCGTAGGCTCGTAGCACAAGCAAGAAGTAAGAAACTGTCCTTGTCCGTCCTTTTTGATAAATGCCGGGGGGGAAGACGATAGTTGGTACACCCACAAACTGTTGAAATGCAGACCTGAGGGGGGATGACAAATGGAACCACCAGATGAACGGAATATTCCTGAATTACCTGGGGGCCTGGTCAGTTTCACAATGATATCTCAAGGCTGTTGGCCTTGTTAAAGGGGAGAAAAAAAGGTAGATGCCCTCGACGGCTCAGTCCCTTATCCGCCAGAAGATGGCCTTTTTATCACTATCACCTTACAAAAAGTCATTTTTTGGAAACCGTAGGAAAGTCTGTTCAGCGTTTTTTACCTCTATTCCTTCCCCCATACATGTGCACAGCGTCTGGATGTCGATGGGTTGCGCTGTTAATGGCTTCTGAGATGGCAGGGATGATGGCGTGATGCCCACGATGGCCTCCACGACTTTTACGGTGATAGCTATGCCAAAGGCCGCCGGCACGACATTCATAAGTTCATAACAAACGAGCGTAGTTACGCCTACAGTGCTCCTGCCTGGTGCGCAACAAATAATTTACCTGTCGATCTGGTTGTCACGGTAGTTGTCATACGCCGCCCCGAACTGGTTGCCATGGTAACCATCAAGATTGTGTGCCATCGATTTTCGAACCCTTGAACCAGGCAGTACATTGCCCCAGGCAACTGGAGAACCTGTTTTGAGCCTCTCCGGAAATTTAGGAGGCCGAGGGCCTTATAGATTAAATGAATCAGCGGTGGGCGGCCTCCGAAAGGAGCCTGCGGCCGATATCTGGCATGTACTGAAGCTTTTTAACCTATGGTTTTCGAGACCCTTGTTCTACCCCCCATTGGAACTGTTCTCCTCACAAAACAAAGCGTGATTGTTTTATGGAGTTTGCGGCAACTTTGTGCCTATTTGTGTGTACACATGTTTGGTCATTAGTTTACTACTTTCTTTGATCTTAGAACAATCGGCCTTTCTTTCTTATCTGCTTCTTCATCCTGCCTAAGGTCACTTATCCGGAAAAAACTGTCAGCTTCCGAATGTGTGTTTTTTTAGGGCGGCCACAAGGGCACCTATAGTTGTCAAAGCGTGCGACCGAATTTCGCATCAGGGGCACATGGCTTACCTTCAACTGGCAACAGTAAAGGACAAAAAGAATGCCATAAAAGCACATTCATAGAGCCTCGACGTGATTTTTCTTAGTGGCTGTGATGATGCCAAAGTTGCTAGCTTGCTTTCTATGATAGCCTTAGTAGCTTTGGGGACAGCCAGGGTTGTCATGCGGGCATTCCTTCAGGGAGGGGAGAGGGGTGATGGCCCGGACAGCTACACTGACAGGCATGGTGGCTGCAGTTCGATGACATTCAGCGGCTCGTAAGAAATGGCCACCAGGCCTTGTATGTGAGAGGCACAGTGAAGCGGGGGGTTAGAAGAATGAATGAGAAAAATGAATGCTTTCAGTGTGCCCCTCATGTTGGTCTTTTTTTTTTTTTTTTTTTTTTTTTTTTTTTGAACCATTTGTTTCACAACGTGCACTCTTTTTAGTAGTTACTAAACAACGTGCGTTTAGGGCCATCAGGCCCCGCCATGCACACACGGCCTTGAACCGGCATACATATGTGGAATATAATATATCTCAGGCTTTGACTCCGTTGCTAGTACTGGTAGGCTTCTTACTCTCGGTCTTGCCTTTTGCTCTGGTTAAGCATCATAGCCAATATTGTTTGTACTATAAACTATGTGTCTGATCACCGTCATTGTTATCCAGGTTACCCCAAGATTATCCAGAGAACATTGATGTCAATGTCATGACATTATCATCAAATGTATTGTCATTTTCATTTCCAGTAACGGTGCATATCCTACGACAGTACGACTATCATTGTCATCAGCATGGCTTTGTTGGTTGTATGCTGAACTCCTAATACCTCTTCTGTTGTTTATGGAGTTACCTTGTCTCAGAGAGTCTCAATCCCATGCTCTTTCTGCTCAGGAAGACCACTGTGTATTCTTTTCACTTTTGATTCACCAGAGATGCCTCGGATTCAGGAGAGATGCTCGACGAATTATCCCCCCTTTTATTGTGAGTTACATCGGAAGTCTCAATCTCATCCTCTTTCTGCTCAGGAAGACCACTCTGTATTCTTTTCACTTGCGATTCATGAGAGATGCCTCAGATTCGGGAGAGATGCTCGAATTATCCCCCATTTTATTGTGTGTTACATCCCACATATATGTCGTAGTTCTACTGCGGTGTTGGTGAGCTATGTTGTCTTCAGGTTCAGGGTAGATTTCTGAGTCTTGTCCTCTTTCTCCTCAGGAATGCTGTGTTTTGTTCTCTCTGTCCTTTCCTTTTTTTCTGTGGCGGGG